GCCTGGTGGGAGGAGCTAGGGTCTGGTGGGAGGAGACAATGCCTGGTGGGAGGAGCTAGGGTCTGGTGGGAGGAGACAGTGCCTGATGGGAGGAGCTAGGGTCTGGTGGGAGGAGACAATGCCTGGTGGGAGGAGCTAGGGTCTGGTGGGAGGTCCTCTGATCCTGGGGGTGTGTCCTAGAAGGAAACTCAGTCCCTGCCTCCTGACTACAAGGTGAGCAGTTTTGCTCTGCTGCGAGCTCCCTCACCGTAAGACTGTTTGGCCACAGGCCCAATGGCCAGGGGGCTAGCCACAGACGGCGACCTCCTAAACGGAGCCCAAAGAAACCTTTGTTCTCCGTAAGTTGACAGGCTCAAGTATTTTGTGACAGTCACAGAAAGCTTTCCGATAATTTGCCCAAGGGAAGGGGTAAGCTAGGATTTGAACTCAAGCACCTGGTACCCTAATTTACCACGCGCAGTAAATGCATCCTGTGTCAGACATCCCAGTGAGCCACATGGAAACTTCCTGTCCCAGCAGGCAGGAAAGCCTGGGGCGTGTCAGGAGCCGGTCCAGCCAGGCCCAGCCCGGCCCACCCCACCCCACCGTGGGTGGAGACGCCTGTTTTCACTGACAACTAACATGGTCTCTAAATTGCAGGGTGCTTTGTTGATGTGGCACATTATAAGCTAATCAGATCAATGCAGAAAAAGCAAATTACCTGTAATTAGAGACAATTAGTGAAATAGTAAGATTATGCCCATATAAAATAAGGCTTCATGCAAGCCGGTGGCCAGGGCAGAGCCTGCCGTGTCCTTCGGCATTCAGGCAAGGCTTGCTCCAGGCCTGCGCCAGCTTGCAAGCCCCGGCTGGGGCCTCCCCTGCACGTCCCCCGCAGCCCTTACCCACGGTGGCCGACAGCCCGGCCGCGAAGGAGTTCTCGTGCAGCAGGTGCAGGAAGGAAGTCTTGCCTACGTTGGAGTCCCCCACGAAGATGACGTGGAAGAGGTGGTCAGGGTCAGCCTGGGGACCAGCCGGCTGGTCCCCCGGGAAGGTGGTCAGCCCGGCCTCCCCCAAGTCCATCCTGGGGTCTTCCGGCCTGCCCTCTGCCCCTGGCTCCCTGGGTTCTCTGTCTGACTGAGCAGGCAGGGGTGGGGGTCCCGGGTGGGATTCCAACTCAGCCGGGGTGGAGGGGCTTTGCGCAAGCTCCTGGGGTCCTGCTTCTGCCTCTCCTGGAGCCTGTGGTGCATCAGCTGAAGAAGGCCCAGGCGGAGCAGCTTTCTGGGGGGATCCTGGAGGCCCCATTTCCAGGGATTGGGCGGCCTGCTCTGAGGCCATGCCCGGCCTGCCTGGGTCCCCTGGCTTTCCTTCCTCCCCGCCGGGCTCCTCTTCCAGGCCCTGGATGGGGAGGACCCCGCTGCCGGCTTCTCCCAGGGCCCCAGCACCGCCTTCCTGCCCCACCAGGCTGGGCTCGCTCGGCACCTGCCCCTCTCTAGGAGTCTGACCCACAGACCCCAGGCCCTTTGAAGGCTCAGCTGGTCCCTCTGGGAGGCCCATGAGCCCTTGTGCCCCTGGGCCTGGCAGGTCTTGATAGAAGGCGTCCTCCTGCCCGGCCGCAGCCAGAGCCTGGGGAGAGGGCGGGGGAGGGGACCCATCCCCCCAGGGAGTGAGCACCTTGAATCCAGCTGCCACCAAGCTCCCTGGCTTCCCAGCTGGGGCTTCTAGGAGCCCCCCGGGGAGGTGGGGCTCGGGCCTGGGGCCTGGCTCCTCCTCACTGGGTCCCAGGCCATGGGGCTGAGCTGGGCTGGCCTTCCCTGCAAGGTCCACTCCTTCCTCATCCTGGGTGCCAGGCGGCACCCCCGGGAGGTTTCTTAGATCCGCGTCTGGCTCTGAAGCTAGCTCCTGACCAGACGGCAGAGCACCCAGCTCCGAGATGGAGATCTGCCTGACCACACGGGGCGTCTGGGGGCCAGAGGTGGCTCTCCGGGTTGGGGACGGGCTCCAGGAGAGTTGAGGGGCCCTGTGTGGGGTGCTGCTGAAGGTGCTCAGGAGCTGGTTCCAATCATCGTTGTCCCCAAATAGCCCAGGCAGGGGGGCCTCCTCAGGGAAGGCCGCCTGAGGCACTGAGGGCTGCTCGTGGGGCCTGGGGAGGCTGGAGAGGAAGTGGGAATGAAGGTTGGTGCGGGACCGGAAGCTGATCCATGCTCCCCTCAGCCCACCCTGCCCCATTGGAGACGCTGCTGCGGATAGCCGAAGAGCAAGTGTCTGCCCAGCATGTACTAGGTCTGTGTGTGTGTGTGTGTCTGTGTGTGTGTATGTGTCTGTGTGTGCATGTCTGTGCATGTCTTAGTTGCAGCCTGGCAATCAGGAGCCACAAGTCTTTCCACTTTTTTTTCTTTTTCTTTTTCTTTTTTTTTGTCAGTCGTGGGGCTTGAACTCTGGGCCTGGGCGCTGTCCCTGAGCCTTTTTTTTGCTCAAGGCTGGTGCTTTACCACTTGAGCCACAGTAGCTCTCCTTTTGGCTTTTTGCTGGTTAATTGGAGATAAGTCTCATGGACTTTTCCTGCCCAGGCTATCTTTGGACCTTGATACTTGGGTCTGATGTGCTGAGTAGCTAGGGATTACAGGCGTGAGCCACTGGCACCTGGCTTTTTGCTTGTTTTTAAATGGGGTCATGTACTTTTGCGTGGACTGACCTCTGACCACCACCCTTCCTATATCCACTTCCTAAGCCGACGGGATGACAGGCACACCCAGTTAGTGGTTGAGACAGAGTTTGGAGAACTTTTTGTTCAGGCTGGCCTTCAGCCATGATCCTCCTGACCTCAGTCTCCTGAGTAGGTAGCAGTCTAAGTGAGAGCCCCCGGCACCTGGCTTGGCTGGGAATCTTCAGTGAAGCATTTAGAATCTTTTCCTTCCTGCAGGATTTTGCAGCAGGTGGGGAGTATGTGAGGGTTTGCAAATTCAACCCGAGGCTCCGTTTCATGACCACCACTGCAGCCAGTGTTTGGGTCTCAGGCTGGCCTGCGGTGGCCAGGATGGGCGGGGGGAGGGGGTGCTCAGGTCTTTTGAGGGGACAGTTGTGGGTGAGGTGACCCCGATCCCCCTCCTGCCACAGAAAGAAATGGAAGCAGGGACTCACCTGGGCCAGCTGACGCCCGGCCTCAGTAGACACTTGTCGCCCATCCTCGCAGTCCATCTTGTTTCCTAGCAGAAGGATGACGGCACCGTCCGCCCCTGCCTCCTGCACACAGAAATGGAACCTCAGCCCCCTTAGTGATGCCTAGAAACTTCTAGAAGTTTCTAGAAGCTGACAAGGAGCCTCCATATTCTCCCTCTCCATATTCCACACCCACCCTGCATCCTTACCCGGACCCCACCACCCATCTGCCGCGAGCCTCCCCTTCCCTCCTCTTCCCTGTCCCCCTCTCTGAAGCCCAGGCCCAGGGCGCCTCCCCCAAGCAGCCCGGGCCCATTCTCTACTTGTCTCCCGAGTCACAGCAATAAAAGAACGCCTCTGACAGCTGACGGGCACCCTGCACTCATTCACAGGGTGCAAGGAGCTGTCTGTCCATCTTCTCAACTCCTCCATGGGAGAAGTCACAGAAATCAGACCCCAGAGAGGTTCAGTCACTTGTCCAAAGTCACACAGTTGAAGGAGGAGGAGTTGGGATTCAGGGTGTGGTCAGATACCAGCCCCCAGCTCCCCTTCTCCTATGCCACCTGAGTATCCCGATTCCAACTAGACTAGAAACTTCTGAAAACCCAAGTGCCCCTCTTCCTGCCAACACAGCTTCGTGTCGTACCCTGCGCTTTAAAAAAAAAAACCCAATACTGTTTTAAGGACATGGTACATGCAGAGACCGTGACCTGAGGCGTCTTCACCCAGGCCAGGACGAGGCCTGCGCGGTCCTCGGGTGGTAGGAAGCAGACTCCATAAGCAGAGCTGTTGTGTGTGGAGAAAAGTGCGTGGAGGATGAAGGAAGTAGTTGGTTTGAGGCTGTGCTGTGTGGTTGTGGTTTCTTTGTACTGCTGAGCTCCCAGCTCATCCTGAAGTGGTGTCACGCATGTGTCCCTCGTAGCCGGGGGGGGGGGGGGACAGGGACGGGAAGGACGCTGACCTGCAGACAGTCCAGCCAGTAGCGCACGTGGGCGAAGCTCTGGTGGGAGGTGACGTCGTACATGAGCACCACGCCCTCGGCCTTGCGGAGCAGCTGCCGAGTCACGCTGTGGTACCTGCGGGAGAGCCCGGGAGACCACCGCACCCGCATCCTGAGTACCTCCCCAGCTCTCCCTGTGCCCCACACACCAGGAAGGCAGCCAGTGCCAGCGCGGGGCCGGGCCAGGCCCGCCATACCTCTCCTGACCAGCCGTGTCCCAGAGCTGCAGGGCAAAGAGCTGGTTGTCCACCCGCAGGTTCTTCACCCGAAAATCCACTCCTAGGACACAGACAGGGGTCAGCCCCATCTCCACCCGGGTCCCCCAGCCCTGGCTGCACCTGCAGCAGCCCCAGAGCCCCGCCCCCCTGCTGTCCTGCTCCCCCCCCTCCAATCCCACCTCCACCCACCCCTGCCTCCTCGCCACCAGCCACATGCTGCTCCTCTTCCAGCCGCCTTCCCTTCCTCCCCTCCCTTCCCTTCCCTGTTCCTTTTCCTCTTCTTTTTTCACTGGTGCCAGTACTGGGGCTTGAACTCAGGGCTTGGGAGCTGTCCTTGAACTTGTTTGCTCAAGGCTAGTCCTCTACCACTTGAGCCAAAGCACTTCTTCTGGCTTTTTGCTGGTTAATTGGAGATCAGAATTTCATGGAGCTGGGATAGGAAGGTGGCTCAGTGGTAGCGTGCTTGCCTAAGCATGCATGAAGCCCTGGGTTCCATTCCTCAGTACCACATACACGGAAAAAGCTGGAAGTGGTGCTGTGGCTCAAGTGGTAGAGAGCCAGCCTTGAGCAAAAGGAACTCACGGACAGTGCCCAGGCCCTGAGTTCAACCCCCAGGACTAGCAAAAAAAAAAATAATAATAATAATCTCATGAACTTTCCTGCCCTGGCTGGCTTTGAACTTCCATCCTCAGATCTCAGCTTCCAGAGTAGCTGGGATTACAGGGTGAATCACCAGCACCAGGCTTCAGCCATCTCTACAACCATTTAGAACACTACAGTGCTCCCACTGAGCAGATGAAGATTTGGAATTCATAGAGTGCTACCATTGGGGTTTGGAATAGTTCCAAAGACCCCACCCTGGCACGGGTGGGAAGAGCTGGGGCCTGGTAGGAGGAGACAAGGCCTGGTGGGAGGAGCTAGGGTCTGGTGGGAGGAGACAATGCCTGGTGGGAGGAGCTAGGGTCTGGTGGGAGGAGACAGTGCCTGATGGGAGGAGCTAGGGTCTGGTGGGAGGAGACAATGCCTGGTGGGAGGAGCTAGGGTCTGGTGGGAGGAGACAATGCCTGGTGGGAGGAGCTAGGGTCTGGTGGGAGGAGACAGTGCCTGATGGGAGGAGCTAGGGTCTGGTGGGAGGAGACAATGCCTGGTGGGAGGAGCTAGGGTCTGGTGGGAGGTCCTCTGATCCTGGGGGTGTGTCCTAGAAGGAAACTCAGTCCCTGCCTCCTGACTACAAGGTGAGCAGTTTTGCTCTGCTGCGAGCTCCCTCACCGTAAGACTGTTTGGCCACAGGCCCAATGGCCAGGGGGCTAGCCACAGACGGCGACCTCCTAAACGGAGCCCAAAGAAACCTTTGTTCTCCGTAAGTTGACAGGCTCAAGTATTTTGTGACAGTCACAGAAAGCTTTCCGATAATTTGCCCAAGGGAAGGGGTAAGCTAGGATTTGAACTCAAGCACCTGGTACCCTAATTTACCACGCGCAGTAAATGCATCCTGTGTCAGACATCCCAGTGAGCCACATGGAAACTTCCTGTCCCAGCAGGCAGGAAAGCCTGGGGCGTGTCAGGAGCCGGTCCAGCCAGGCCCAGCCCGGCCCACCCCACCCCACCGTGGGTGGAGACGCCTGTTTTCACTGACAACTAACATGGTCTCTAAATTGCAGGGTGCTTTGTTGATGTGGCACATTATAAGCTAATCAGATCAATGCAGAAAAAGCAAATTACCTGTAATTAGAGACAATTAGTGAAATAGTAAGATTATGCCCATATAAAATAAGGCTTCATGCAAGCCGGTGGCCAGGGCAGAGCCTGCCGTGTCCTTCGGCATTCAGGCAAGGCTTGCTCCAGGCCTGCGCCAGCTTGCAAGCCCCGGCTGGGGCCTCCCCTGCACGTCCCCCGCAGCCCTTACCCACGGTGGCCGACAGCCCGGCCGCGAAGGAGTTCTCGTGCAGCAGGTGCAGGAAGGAAGTCTTGCCTACGTTGGAGTCCCCCACGAAGATGACGTGGAAGAGGTGGTCAGGGTCAGCCTGGGGACCAGCCGGCTGGTCCCCCGGGAAGGTGGTCAGCCCGGCCTCCCCCAAGTCCATCCTGGGGTCTTCCGGCCTGCCCTCTGCCCCTGGCTCCCTGGGTTCTCTGTCTGACTGAGCAGGCAGGGGTGGGGGTCCCGGGTGGGATTCCAACTCAGCCGGGGTGGAGGGGCTTTGCGCAAGCTCCTGGGGTCCTGCTTCTGCCTCTCCTGGAGCCTGTGGTGCATCAGCTGAAGAAGGCCCAGGCGGAGCAGCTTTCTGGGGGGATCCTGGAGGCCCCATTTCCAGGGATTGGGCGGCCTGCTCTGAGGCCATGCCCGGCCTGCCTGGGTCCCCTGGCTTTCCTTCCTCCCCGCCGGGCTCCTCTTCCAGGCCCTGGATGGGGAGGACCCCGCTGCCGGCTTCTCCCAGGGCCCCAGCACCGCCTTCCTGCCCCACCAGGCTGGGCTCGCTCGGCACCTGCCCCTCTCTAGGAGTCTGACCCACAGACCCCAGGCCCTTTGAAGGCTCAGCTGGTCCCTCTGGGAGGCCCATGAGCCCTTGTGCCCCTGGGCCTGGCAGGTCTTGATAGAAGGCGTCCTCCTGCCCGGCCGCAGCCAGAGCCTGGGGAGAGGGCGGGGGAGGGGACCCATCCCCCCAGGGAGTGAGCACCTTGAATCCAGCTGCCACCAAGCTCCCTGGCTTCCCAGCTGGGGCTTCTAGGAGCCCCCCGGGGAGGTGGGGCTCGGGCCTGGGGCCTGGCTCCTCCTCACTGGGTCCCAGGCCATGGGGCTGAGCTGGGCTGGCCTTCCCTGCAAGGTCCACTCCTTCCTCATCCTGGGTGCCAGGCGGCACCCCCGGGAGGTTTCTTAGATCCGCGTCTGGCTCTGAAGCTAGCTCCTGACCAGACGGCAGAGCACCCAGCTCCGAGATGGAGATCTGCCTGACCACACGGGGCGTCTGGGGGCCAGAGGTGGCTCTCCGGGTTGGGGACGGGCTCCAGGAGAGTTGAGGGGCCCTGTGTGGGGTGCTGCTGAAGGTGCTCAGGAGCTGGTTCCAATCATCGTTGTCCCCAAATAGCCCAGGCAGGGGGGCCTCCTCAGGGAAGGCCGCCTGAGGCACTGAGGGCTGCTCGTGGGGCCTGGGGAGGCTGGAGAGGAAGTGGGAATGAAGGTTGGTGCGGGACCGGAAGCTGATCCATGCTCCCCTCAGCCCACCCTGCCCCATTGGAGACGCTGCTGCGGATAGCCGAAGAGCAAGTGTCTGCCCAGCATGTACTAGGTCTGTGTGTGTGTGTGTGTCTGTGTGTGTGTATGTGTCTGTGTGTGCATGTCTGTGCATGTCTTAGTTGCAGCCTGGCAATCAGGAGCCACAAGTCTTTCCACTTTTTTTTCTTTTTCTTTTTCTTTTTTTTTGTCAGTCGTGGGGCTTGAACTCTGGGCCTGGGCGCTGTCCCTGCGCTCTTCAGCTCAAGGCTGGCGCTCTACCACTTGAGTCACAGCACCACTTCTGGTTTTCTGGTGGTTAATTAAAGAGTCTCACAGACCTTCCTGCCTGGGCTGGCTTTGAACTGCAAGCCTCAGATCTCAGCCTCCTGAGTAGCTCAGATTACAGGCGTGAGCCACTAGCGCCTGGCTTTCTTTTTTCTGTTTTCTCTTTTTTTTTGCCAATCCTGGGGCTTGAACTCAGGGCCTGGGCACTGTTCCTGAGCTTCATTTTGCTCAAGGCTAGCACTCTACCACTTGAGCCGCAGTGCCACTTCTGGCTTTTTCTGTGTATGTGGTACTGAGGAACTGAACCCAGGGCTTCATGCGTGCTAGGCAAGCACTGTACCACTGAGCCATATTCCCAGCCCCTTCTTTCTACTTTTCTATGCTTCAGTTTCCTCATCTGAGCCCTGGGCACAACACAGCCAGCTTGGCAGGATCCCTTGAGGTTTGGAGACCCTGCGTGCCTGTGTTCAAATCAAGCTGGGGAAAGTGGGGCCCAGCCTGGCCCAGTTCTGGGAAGCCCCTGATCTCCTCTGACTTCCCCGACCGCTCCTGACCTCCCCTGCGGCCCAGCAGCCGCTTACCTGTGTTCCTCCTCCTCCTGCCAAGACTCTCGGCCTCTGGCTGCGTCCAGCTGTCCCCTGGTCACCAGCAGCTGTCCCCGCACTGCCTCCAACTGCCCTGCCAGGTCCTGCTCAGCCTCCTGAAGCTGCTGTTTCTCCAACATGGCCTCCTGCTGGGTGTGGCTGAGGTGTTGCACCTGGGCCTCCAGCTGGGACAAGGTGGAGGGGGAAGAGGAAAGATTCAAACTTGTTCTCTAGAGCAGCAACAACAAAACCCCCTCCAAGGGCTGGGAAGGTGGCTTAGTGGTGGAGAGCTTGCTAGCATGCATGAAGCCCTGGGTTCCATTCCTCAGTATCACATAACACAGAAAAAGTGGTAGTGGCGCTGTGGCTTAGGCTCATGTGGTAGAGGGCTAGCCTCGAGCAACAGAGGCTCAGGGACAGTGCCCAGGCCCTGAGTTCAAACCCCAGGACTGGCAAAAGAAAAAAAACCCTCTGAAGGTCATTGTAGCATACACCCCCTCCTCCTCAATGTCCAGGCTCCCAGAGAACCAGCTGAAAATATAGGATTGGTAGCTGAGCACTGATAGCTCAGAACCTATAATCCTAGCTACTCAGGAGGCTGAGATCTGAGGATTGTGGTTCAAAGCCAGCCAGGGCAAGAAAGTCCATGAGACTCTTATCTCCCATGAGCCACCAGAAAACAGGACGTGGCGCTGTGGCTCAAGTGGTAGAGCGCTCGCCTTGAGCAAAAAGAAGCTCAGGCCTAGAGTTCAAGCCCTGTGACAAAAAAATAAAAGTGGTGGAGAGTCCTCCTCGAGCAAGCAAGCAGCGTGAGAGCTGGAAGGCCTGAGTTCAAGTCCTGGTACCAGCCCCAAAACAAACCCAGATCAGAGCGCGCTGACAAAGGCCTGGGGTCTGAGTCCGGGCGCGCTCACCTCCCTCTGGCCTTCTGCCAGCCGCTGCAGCTCTCGCTCCTTGGCCTCCAGCACGGCCTGCATGTGGGCGCTGAGATCCAGGCCCCGGGTATCGCTCTGAGGAGGAAACAGGGTCAGCCCTGCCCTGCACACTACAGTGCCAGCAGGCGGGGCCCACCCTCTCCCCTGGCTGGAGCCCAGGACCCCAGGATCACCAGTCTTGGCCTAGATTCGAACAAGGAACCTGAGAGAACCACAGAGTGGAAGCCGGCCTTGAGGGGCAGAGAGACCTGGCTTAGCTGGGAAGTGAACCCAGGCTGGGGGAGCCCCACCTGTCTCTCTGGGGACCCCCAGTGCTCAGGGCAGGGAGACCATGGGCCCCCGCAGCCTCTGCTTCCCCACTATTAGCCGCTGGCGCCCACCTGAGCCTGGAGCTGCTGCTTCTCCCTGGCAATCTGCTGCTCCATCTCCTGGTGCAGCTGCTGGACCTCTCGATGGTGGTCAAAGCCCCGCCTAGGAGGGGTGGGAGGCCAGGCAGCCTCAGCACCCAGTGGCAGGGTGACCCCCCCACTTCCTGCTTACATCACTGCCAGCCACCACGGACACCTGATAACCGGGGTCCATGGCACGGTCATTTCCCCAAGCATCAGCCAGATGCTGGTCCCCAGCATCACCGACTCCCGCCCCTCGGGCGGCGCCAGACCCTGCCACCAACTCCGACCTTTAACCCAGGGCCCAGACAGCCAGCTCCACTCACGTCCTCAGTGACCGCTCCAGGGCCTCCCTGTCCGCCTGGGCCTCCTGCAGGTGGAGGCTCATCTTGGCCAGGAGGCCCTCCAGGGTGTGGGCCAGCTGGGGCTCCCCCCGCCGCAGCTCCCCCCACAGCGGCCAGATCTCGGCCTGCCTGCGACAAGAGGCCTCCAGAGATTAGGACTAAACAGCTCGGGTAAGGGGCGCGTGGAGGGAGGGGATGGAGGGTCTCACTCCTTGCTGGTCTTTTCTGGTTTTGTGCTAGTATTGGGACTTGAACTCAGGGCCTTGTGTTCTTACTTGGCCTTTTTTTTTTCCCCCTCAGGGCTGGTGCTCTACCACTTGAGCCACATCTCCACTTACAGCATTTGATCGTTCATTGGAGATAAGAGTCTCACAGACTTTTTTTTTTTTGGTTGGTTGTGGGGCTTGAACTCTGGGCCTGGGCGCTGTCCCTCAGCTCTTCAGCTCAAGGCAAGCGCTCTACCACTTGAGCTACATCGCCGCTTCCTATTTTCTGGTGGTTTATGGAGATAAGAGTCTCACAGACTTTCCTGCCCAGGCTGGCTTTGAACCACGATCCTCAGATCTCAGCTAAGATTACAGGCATGAGCCGCAGGCACCCAGCACACTCCTCAGCTTTAATGGCGATGTTACAAGACAGTTGGACACGAGGGACACAAAACTCCACTGACGACTGGACACAACTCAAAAGCTGTCTCCCCCAGGAACCCTTCCCAGATGAGGCCTCTTCCTTCTTCTCGAACCCCTGGGAGAGCCCGCCAGTCCCTGGCCTCCTCTCCTCTCCTCTCTCGCTTTTCACTGTGTGACCTACAGCCAGTCCCATGCCTCTCTGTGTTTGTGTGTAAAGCAAGGAGACAACACTTCCCTGGCAAAGTGGTTGGGGAATGAGAGTCATGCCCAGTGGAAGAGCCAGCCAGGGGCATGGCACCCGGCTGGCACCCAGTAAATGTTGCTTTCACATGGATTTAATTGAGACATGAAGACGGAGCCTGGGCCAGGCTGCCAAGTGGGTAAATGGTTGCCCGCTGCACCTGCCCTGCCAGCCCACGCCCCGGGTGCCACCCTCCCGCCCCCCTGAGCCCAGCCCCGCCCTTGAGAGCAGAGGGGAGGGAGAGGTGGGGAGCGGTGCGGACCCCTTGCTGGCGATCTCTTGGGTCCTCAGGGTGCCAGGGAGATGTGCACCCACTTTTTTAGGTGGGACCCTCTTCTCCAAGCACGAGAGACCACCCCCCAATAAGCCAGAGCCCGGGACACATCGGAGGAAATGCTTCTTGTCCTCACACCTGCCCAGATCGGGGCACTGCCAAGCTGGAAGTCACCCCCCTGCGGGACCCTCTTTGTGAGCTAGGAAGGAGGTCCCCGGGGAGGCCCCCAGTGCCCTGGAAGGAATCCTCCTCCTCCCCAGGGTGCTTGTGCCCCTCTGAAGCCATGAGCGGGGGTCAGAGGTCACGGTCATGCACCAGCCAGTGGCCAGGCTGGCTCACCCCGGCTTCTCTCTGCAGCCGGCCCCGGGCACAGCGCCCAGGAGGGGGCCCCGCCCCTCGGGCTGGCAGCACTGCCCCTGCCCCACGCACGGCCTTACTCAGGAAGGAAGTGGTCAGCGCCCAGCTGCCCCACGAGGCCCACGAATGCCTCCTTGTCCTGGGGCTCAGCCTCCTCCAGCTCTGGGAAGCCAGGGGATCCAGCCCCCCGCTGAGAGGGCGGGGGTCTTCTTTGGAGCTTGTGGGGACTCAGGTCGGAGCCAAAGATGTTTCCTAAGGGAGACAGGGGAGCCGAATGGGTGCTGTGGCCCTGACTTCTGCTACAGCCCTTGAGGAAGAAGTCCTGGCCGGAGTTGGACATACACAAGGCACCTCCAATGCTCAGACAGATCTTGGGGTCGCTCAGGTAGACACTGTGTTCCTTATACATCATCTAGGGTCCAGAGATGTGCCAACATTCATCTGAAGTCACACAGTAGCTCCACAGTGGCTTCTTCATCTAGTAGATCAAGGGGTGTTTACTGAGCATCTACTCTGTGCCGGTGACAAAACTGGCCCAAATCCCTGTTGTTCTGGGAGAACTGACATTCTGGGATGAGTTGAAAAGGCTCTCCTTCTTTTTTTTTCTTTTTCTTTTTTTTTTTTTTTTTTGTCGGTCATGAGGCTTGAACTCTGGGCCTGGGCACTGTCCCTGAACTCTTCAGCTCAAGGTGAGCGCTCTACCACTTGAGCCACAG